CTTGGTTTTGGTTGCTTCTGTTTACCCTCAGGTACTGTCTGTGCTGTCTTGCAACTGTGGCCAACTTGAAGACATGTGTGGCAATATTCAGGTATCCAATCATAAAAAAATATGTTGTTCAAATACTTTGCCCATCGGATCCATAACCTTTATGATACTAGGCATCACCTTTGTAAGAAATCCTCTCAATTTTAGATGTGCATTTATCTGCATATAGTGGTACTCCTAAGCCACACCCAATCCTACTGAGTGGATCCATACTCCAGCAATTTAATAGCAAATTAGGCAGCTTAACCCATATAGGAATTGTCTACAGGACTTCCTTACCAAAGTCGAAATTAGGCGACCATGCTTTGACAATTATAGGTTTATTTCTTATAGTATGAGGCCCTGACTTCAACACTACATCCCTATCTTCCACACTATTGAATTTTACCACGAAATAACCGTCATTATGGAAATAGATTTTTGGTTTGCTAACAAAATTCCACTGCGCTGCAATAAATTGATCCAAAACACCTATTGAGGGGGAATCTCCCACAACATACAGTACAATTGCATGTTTCCATTTTGCTGTTTCACGATCAACCTCAGCATTATCTAGCTCGACTATTTTTTCTCCATTTTTTACCATAGGAGCAATACATTTGAGGTTCATAACTCTAGCCACTAACTTGTTCCCAACGAAAAGGTTCGCTCATTCCTTTTTGTTTATCTGCTGCTCCTCATCTAGCTTTTTGTGAATTTGAACTTCCTGCTCCGTAATTAGCTTCGTTATTTCCATCTGCTGTATCTCCTTCCTCTGGATCTCCTTTTCAACCTCGATTTTCTCTGTATTCGGACTCTTCGCCGGTGCCTTCACAGTTTGGCTATGTTCTCCTTTATCAATTAAAGGTGATCTAGCTGAAATCGCTCCATGCAAAGGCGACCATATCGCGTTTGAGCTCTGCAACTGTTCCATTGAGCTCTGCAAATTCGGCATATCCTTGATTCTCCTCGATTGTTTCTCCCCATCAACTTTTATCAAATTTGCTGGTTCCTTACTTGAGTTTGTGATCTGAATCACTCTCTTTGGTCTCCCTCTACCCATGCCGGCAGAGGCGCATGTTAGCTCTGTAAGATAACTAATTCGTAACCATAGCAGAGATTAAGACACAATTACACAATCAATCTAGAGTCAGAGTCTAAAGAAGCGTACCGTTAAACTCCATGGATTTAAGCAGGGACAGCAAACGGCGATTAAGCCTGAGACCAACTTCCACAATCCACTAGCTACGCGCTCTCACAGCCCGGAGAACTTGACTGATGGGACGTCTACCTTTACCACGTATTCAAGAGGCAGAATACGCTAGGGTTTTTTAATAACTAGGGAAAGGGGGGTTGGACTCTATTTATAAAGAGTGCCTACCCATCACAGGCCAATAGTTATTGGGTCTCACTTATATACACACATAATATTTAATATTAGGCCTTTTATTTATCCACCACTTGGGCCACGTCACTATCCTTTCAGGCTATAACCAATTAACGTAAGTCCAAATTCCAACATTCTCCCACTTGGACGCCAACGTTAATTGAGGACAAGAAACAATTTTAAAATATTTGAGTTTTAAGAAAATCATTTTGAAAAAAGATTTTAGACTCTACAGTGGCCACACTACTCACATAGCCAAGGATAGAATGACCCGTATAACAATCCATTCAGTCCCAATAGAGAAGACTAACAATGAATCATAGCAGGCATCACACCATTTTAAAGTATGAATTCTATCTACGACCACATATGCTAGAATTTCCATCAACATGGATCAAACATGTGTGCTAAGCATTTTATCTTTCTAATCAAGGTGAATAGATTCACACCTCTTAGAAGGAAATAATCCTCCAAGTGATATTATAACCATATCACCTCAGGAGCCTCCAAGTGACACTTAATCATATCACCTCAGGAGGATTCCCTTGTGCCTTACCCGGGATAATCAAGGCAACAAGCCGCAAGACTCAAAGATATCATGAGTTTATGCAATGTCCAATTGGAAATAAAAATAAATAAATTATCATGTTAGTCATGAGCATAACAGATATCAAATAACACAAGATTTCATAAAGATAGAATTTATCAAAAGCAATATCTCAATCAGCAATTACAAAGTAACTCCCATTGACTAAAGCACATCAAAAGACTCTAAAATACCCATATTTTTAGCATGTTCATTAAACACTACAGGCCTAAGACCTTTAGTCAAAGGATCAGCCAACATAGATTCTATGCTAATATGCTCAATACATATATCACCTTCTTTTACCATGTCTCTAACCTTAAGAAACTTAAGGCTTACATGCTTAGAGCCTCTTGTTCTCTTGTTATTCTTGGAGAAGAACACAGCTGCACTATTGTCACAGAAAATAGTCACCGGCTTAGATATAAAATCCATAATTTGCAATTTAGTAAGAAAATTCTTCATCCAGACAGCATGTGAAGCAGTCTCAAAACAAGCAATAAACTCAGCTTCCATTGTGGATGTAGCAGTGATACTTTGCTTCTCACTTTGCCAAGAAATAGCACCTCCACCCAACATAAGAATATACCCAGAAGTTGATTTCATAGTGTCTTGACAACCTGCAAAATCAGAATCTAAATATACTAGAAGATCCATATCATCAACCTTTTTGTATACAAGCATGAAGTCTTTGGTGCGTTGTAGATATCTCATCACTTTCTTTGTAGCCACCCAATGTGCCCACCCAGGATTAGAAGAAAATCTTCGCAACATGTTAACAGCAAATGCAATATCAGGCCTTGTACAAACCTGTATGTACATCAAACAACCAACAACACTAGCATATGGCACATCTTTCATAGTTCTCATTTCAACTTTATTTTTCGGACATTGATCCTTGCTAAGTTTGTCTTCCTTTTACAACAGGTGCAGTACCAGGTCTACAGTCTTGCATATTGAAAGTTTTAAGAACACTCTCAATGTAGGAACGCTGTGATAAACCCAATAAACCACGTGACCTATCTCTTTTAATTTCTATCCCAAAAATAAAAGAGGCTTCACCAAGATCTTTCATATCAAAAGACCTAGACAAAAATTGTTTGGTCTCATTCATCAAAAGCAAATCTTTTGTGGCAAGCAAAATGTCATCAACATAGAGAACCATAATAATAAAATTGCCATTAGCTATTTTGAGATAAACACATTCATCAAGCTTATTTTCCACAAATCCAAATTTTGTAATAATTTCATCAAATTTCAAGTACCACTGTCTGGAGGCTTGTTTAAGCCCATATATGGATTTGTTAAGCTTGCACACTAGATGTTCTTTACCAGCTTCTTTAAACCCTTCAGTTTGAACCATGTAAACTTCTTCAAGTAGACTCCCATTCAGGAAAGCAGTTTTAACATCCATATGGTGCAATTCTAAATCAAAATGAGCCACAAGATCCATCACAATTCTAAATGCATCTTTGGATGAAACGGGAGAAAATGTTTCTTTATAATCAATACCTTCTTTTTGAGTATAACCCTTAGCAACCAACCTTGCTTTATAAGGGTCTATGTTTCCCTTGGAGTCTCTTTTAGTTTTAAACACCCATTTGCAACCAATAGGCCTAAAACCTACAGGCAATTCAACTAACTCCCACACTCCATTGTGCTCCATAGAGCGCATTTCATCATTCATTGCTTCACGCCATTTATCAACAAATGGAGAGGAAATAGCTTGAGCATATGATAAAGGATCAGTCAGCTCTCCAGTATCACTGAGATTTTCAGTCACATACACGATAAAATCATCAGAGATGGCACACCTTCTTTCTCTTTGTGACCTACGGAGTGGTTCATTTTGAACATTTTGCTCAGGAACTATGGGATCTGCGTCGTTGTTCCCTTGATTCTCCCCCTCATGAATAGGTTGGTTTACCACCTTTTCATGTATAACAGGTACAGGGACAATGACTTCCTTCTCTTTCAATACAATTTCCTTACCACATGAACAATCACAATCACAAACATCATGCTCAAGAAATTTCGCATTAATAGACTCAACGATTCTAGTGCCACGCCCAGGAAAGAAAAACCTAAAACCTTTAGGGTGATCAAGATAGCCTATAAAGAAACAACTGGTAGTTTTAGGATCAGTTTTTTTTTTTTTTGTGGGTGAATAAATACGAACTTCAGCTGGACATCCCCAAATGTGCAAATGGTTCAAGCTAGGTTTTAGGGTTGTCCATAGTTCAAAGGGAGTTTTCGAGACAGACTTTGTAGGAACTCTATTCAGGATATAGCTAGTTGTTTTTAAGGCTTCACCCCAAAGAGACTCAAGTAGGTTAGTTCTTGACATCATACTTCTCACCATTTCCATGAGAGTACAATTTCGTCTTTCGGCCACACCATTCTGCTCAGGAGTACCTGGCATGGTATATTGTGCTACTATCCCACATTCTTACAAAAATAAAGCAAAAAGCCCCATACATTGACCAGACTCATCATATTTTCCATAGTACTCACCACCACGGTCAGACCTCACTATCTTGATGGACTTCCCAAGCTGTTTTTCAACTTCAGTCTTGTAAATTTTAAACTTATCAAGTGCTTCAGATTTTTCTTTTAAAAGATATATATAACAGTACCTTGAAAAATCATCAATAAAGGTAATAAAATACTTATGATTGGTCAAAGTAGGTACATAAGGTCCACTAATATCAGTATGAATTATTTCTAAGAGTTCGGAGCTCCTAGTGGAACCATTTCTCTTAACCTTGGTCATTTTACCCTTAACACAATCCACACAAGTTTCAAAATCTTTTGGATCAAGAACAGGTAAAATATTTTCCTTTACCAATCGCTCAATTCTTTCTTTAGAAATATGACCAAGACGCCTATGCCATAATAGGTAAGACGTTTTACTTATAGCAGACCTTTTGTGGGCAATATTTTCAACATGCATTGCAGAAAAAGTTTCATTCAATATATTCAAGCGATATAGACCATCACTTAAAAAGCATCAGCAACAACATGTGAATCATAGGAAATTTTAATAATACCATTATTTTGTTGAAATGAATAACTAGCTTTGTCCAAAAGGAAAACCGAAACTAATTTCCGTCTCATAGACGGTACAAAAACAGTATTTTCTAAACGAATACTAGAATTATTCTTAGAAGGTAAAATAGATATCCCTATAAACTCTACTTTTGCTTTGAGTCCATTGCCCACAACAACACTGGCTTCATCCTCTTTTGGCTTCCGTCTGCTTACTAGATCCTGCAAGTCATTGGTTACATGAACAGTTGCACCACTATCCAACCACCAGGAATTTAAAGGAAACTGAATAAGACTAGTTTCAAAGCAGACAAAAGCCAAAAGATTACCTGATTTCTTTTTCAGAGGATAGCCAGCTTTCTGTGACCCACTTGTTTGCAATCCCAGCACTTGATTTCTCTCTTAATTACAGCTTGAGGACCAAGAGAATTATGAGACTGACCTTGGTTTAACACCAGGATTATTAGTATGACCACTATTACCACCTGGATGATGAAAATGACCATGTTTCTTTTTGTGAAATTTGGGTCCACCTTTTCTTTTATAAGAGGGATAATCAGCTGATCTAGACGAACTAACAAAGTTCACTACACCCTCAACTTTCTCCTTTTGGATCCTCCCTTCCTCTACCACACAAACAGTAATAAGATCATCAACACTCCACTTATCCTTTTGTGCATTATAGGTTGTCTTAAGTTGGTTAAACTGCTCAGGAAGGGACCTCAGAGATTGGTGAACAAAAAAATCATCGGTAATGGTTACACCTAAATTGTTCAGTTTGGTAGCAATGTTAACCAATTTCATAATGTGATCAAGGACACTACCTACAAGGTCATACTTTATGGTAGACAAGGAATCAATTAGACTACCTATCTCAGCTTTATCAGATTCTAGGAATTTCTGTCCAATGGCACTCAAGAAATCTTTTCATTTCCATTATCCTTAATTGCACCTTTTATGTGATCAGAAATTGATCTCTTCATGATCATAAGAATCAATTTGTTAGCCTTCATCCATTTTTTATACTTAGCCTTTTCATCAGCAGTGCTAGTAGTTGTAGGTTCAGTAGGTTTCTGTTCAGTCAATGCAAAGTCCAGTTCCATCAGACCTAACACTATTTCAACATCCTGTTTCCATTTCTTGTAGTTGCTACTAGTCAAAATTTCAATGGAATTCAACTGAGTAGTCATGTTGCTAACAGCTGTATAAGCAAACAACATAAAAATTAGATAAAATTATGGGCTAGAATATATAGATCAAAAGAGTCAAAGACATCCATCACACCCCTCCTTTGGGTAGAAGATGCAACTGTCTCCCCCTTTAAAAAAAATCAAGGAGTCCAAGACATTCACTGCATCCTCACCTTTAGGCAAGAGATACAAAGCCTCCCCCTGTTATCCAAGAGTACAAGGCATACATTGTGTCCTTCCTTTAGGTAAGAGACACAAAACCTCCTCTTACAACAACTTATCCTTAGCATTAATTTAGCGTCATTAGTATCAAAAGAAAAATCTTCAACACTAGTGTACACTTGTAAAGGATAATTTGGACATGGTACATTGAGAATATTTTAATGACTCAAATAAACAGACCACTTTGGTGGAAACTATCTATTAATCATAACTCTCAATCCATGTATTAAATGATCTCACATGTGTGTAGTATTAAGAACTTTTTAGTGACTCAAAATAAATAGACCACTTTAGTGACACTATTTATTAATCACAGTTTCTCAGTTATACACATCAATACATGTGATAAAATAACACCCATATAATTTAAACCTTTCTATCTGGTTATTAATTCCATTCTCCGACTAAAATTATCATAAAGGTTTCTAGCAATAACTTAAGTACTACTTTTGCAGTAGGCTAAAAAGGCATAAACAAATTAGTAATTATCAAATACAACCAAGGTTTTTTGATTAACTAATGAATAAAAATTGATAAACATAAATCAGGACACAAATCCAATAGTGACGCTTTAACTAAAGTACTCAATCAATTCTGAGTAGCCACTTTAATTATTTATGTTTGCTATATCACCGTAACACGGAAACTTTAACTTAAAAAATAATCATATGGATTTATGAGCCACAAACGTTAATATCATAACTAATGGAATCAAGTACATCTTTTTAAAACTTAACCAATCTGTAGCCGCCAGAAAACCTTTTTTACCGATGCCGCCGCCAACAGCAAACATCAAGGTTTTACCAAATTTGTTATTACATTTTATATATAAAAATCAATCACAACTTCCAGCATATTCAATCAAATACAACCGCTAAATACCGATGAATTAAAAGTTTTGACGAGAAACAGTGTCGAACTGTTGTCGTCTAAAATTTTTAGGATAGTTCTTTTCATTTTAAAACTCAAGATTACATCTTGATCTTAACCTCGAAACTATGGTGGCTCTGATACCAACTGTAAGATAATTAATTCGTAATCATAGCAGAGATTAAGACACAATTACACAATCAATCTAGAGTCAGAGTCTAAAGAAGCGTACCGTTAAACTCCATGGATTCAGCAGGGACAGCAAACGGCGATTAAGCCTGAGACCAACTTCCACAATCCACTAGCTACGCGCTCTCACAGCCCGAAGAACTTGACTGATGGGATGTCTACCTTTACCACGTATTCAAGAGGCAGAATACGCTAGGATTTTCTAATAGCTAGAGAAAGGGGGGTTGGACTCTATTTATAAAGAGTGTCTACCCATCACAGGCCAATAGTTATTGGGTCTCACTTATCTACACATAATATTTAATATTAGGCCTTTTATTTATCCACCACTTGGGCCACGTCACTATCCTTTCAGGTTATAACCAATTAACGTAAGTCCAAATTCCAACAACCTCACCGTCGATGCGCGTCAATCCTCAATGATTTTAGAGAGAGAAAGTTAGAGAGAAGTCACTAATCTAATCTTCTTTTTATCGTTTCAATTTTATCGAATTTTTCTCAATGGTTACAACTTACAATAAATCACTTACTCCCTCTCTGCATCCAAATAACATTGTTTCTGGTACTTTTTATGATGCGTGCACATTCATTGAAATGTCATTTTAGCTGTGAGGTAGTGGAGATTAACAGTCACCAACCAGTTAACTTCAGAAAGGTAATGATGACACTTAAAAGAGTCAAATGCAGAAATAGTGATTAACAACATGGTCTCTAGACTTTCCATCAATCTTTGGATTAGTTCATTTAATGTTGAGATCATCAGATCTTAAAAATAATTCTCTTTTGATAATGAGTACTGGGCCATCTCCAATCAACCACTTTGATACTGATTACTATTAATCAAATGAACTGCACACATATCATTCTCAATCTCTTATTATGTCTTATCCTTGTCCCTTTTCCATAACTTTAATTTAACTCATACCACATTATACTATACTGTCTATAATTTTAATACTATACTGCCTATACCTTCTTGTCCTTGTCCTTGTCCCTTTTAAAAATTAGAAATATATGTCAAAATAAAAATGTTGATCTTTATACTCTGAATCTGTTACTAATTCTTTTTATTTTTTAGAGCACTAGTCCACCAAACTACTTTTACTTTACTTGCCCATGACTTTTTTCTGGTTAATCAGGGAAAATGCAGCCGCTATTCTTCAGGTGCACATATGGTAAATTAATCTTGCTCCTATTCACAAACAACATAGGAGGGTTGATCGCACTAAGTAAGTCCCGTATAACGGGTTTGACCAAAGAGGTATTCAAGTGGGAGAAGTCCCCTGCTCAACCAACTCGGCCATCCCGAATGGTTATTTGCCCATGACTTCTAAGTTTAAAGAAATATTGTTATTTTTATATTTTTGGTGGTTCTCAACTAAATTACCAATAATTTGCTGATTGGGAACCACTGTCCGAAGCTGGGTCCAGTGTAATTGGATATATCTCCAGAATATGATCCAACAAGAGGAACAAAACCATAGAAGCTTAAAATTCCACGTGGACTCTAAAAATGCTTCACTTTTTCATTCTTTAATAAAAAGAAAAATGAAAATTCATACCCCATGTTCTATATATATAAATCAGTCATAACAAGGTTCTTTATCATTACAAAAAACACACAAATTAGCATCCCTCGTAAAGACCATTTTAAAAAAAAAAAAAAACTCAAGTTGCTATGGCTGATCATTTTATTAATTCATCATTTTCTTTATTTAATATTGATTCGAGTATGGATTTCATGAACCAGTTTCCAGAGATAATCAACCCTTGTTCCTCTGAATTGTCAAGCTTCAATTTACAGAGCTCAATGGAGTTTTCCCATGAAAATATTTTCACTCAAGTAGCTGAATTTCCAGGAAATTTACAGGAATATTTTCAAGAAAATATTCAACAAGATGACAAAATTAATGCCTCAGTAATACCTTGCGATATGGTGCCTATCAATGAAAGCAAAAAGAGGAAAACAATTGATACACCAGAAAGCAGTTCATCCCCTGCAGTTTCTGCTACTGGAACTGAAAGAAGAAGTGTAAGTAAAATTTTATTTTCGAATTATCAATTTTGTATATGTTTTATTACCAGTCATATATCTGATGCATGAAACTGGTTTTTAATTTACAGAGTAAAGGAAGAGGAAATAGAGTGAAAAGTAGTGATGAAAAGGAAGAAGAAAAAACAAAGGAAGTGGTCCATGTTAGAGCCAAAAGAGGCCAAGCTACTGATAGTCACAGCTTAGCAGAAAGGGTAATTCATCTACCTACCCAATATAGTATTTTCCATTAACTTAATGATGATTAAAAAAGCAGCTCGATGTATAAAGCATCTCGTATTTACGCGCTGTCCAAAAAGAGTGTATATCTCAACAGAGGCGGAGCCAGGATTTCAAGTTTATGGGTTCGGGATTCTAATCGTCTTAAGTTACTGGGTTCTAACTTAATAATTTATACATATTCAATAGATTTTTTAATACAAATGCAGGGTTTAAACTTTGAACCAAAGCTACTGGGTTCGGTCTAACCCACTAACGGCACTCTAGCTCCGCCCTTGTATCTCAGGGGATGTAATATATGCACACCTACCTTGACACAAGTATCAATAGCTGATTTTACGGCTTAAACTCGTTACCTATTGTGCCAGTAACATATTGATGACTAATGCATTTTGTTTCCTGGTTCAGGTTAGAAGAGGAAAAATTAATGAAAAACTTAGATGTTTGCAAGATATTGTTCCAGGATGCTACAAGGTATCGAATTCTTTTAATTAATAATGCAGTGTTATTTTCTCGCAAAAATGTCATTATTTACAAGGACAGGAGAGTAGACTTTTGACATTAATAATTTTCCATTTTGATCAAATGGCAGACAATGGGCATGGCAGGAATGTTGGATGAAATAATTAATTACGTACAATCCTTGCAAAATCAAGTGGAGGTAAGTTTGCATAAATATATAATTTTAAAAAGAAAAAGAATGTCTTCCTTTTGTTAGTTGAATAAAAAAGGTAACAACTAAATTGACTGATTCGAATTTGTTGGATCCAGTTCCTTTCCATGAAGCTTACAGCAGCAAGCTACAATTACGATTTCAACTCAGAGTCAGACATTCTTGTATCAATGCAGGTATTTTTTCTATTTTCTACCTAAGTATAGTCGCCAGTAAAATATTATTTTTCGCGATAACTACAATGATTGTCTCTTTTTTTTATGCGACCTTTTTGAGTCGCCACAAAAACCCTTATTTTTGTAGCGACTAACTAAATCATTATAGAAAACTTGATTTTCTATATAGTGAACTGAAGAGCAAATGGAAATTTTTTAATGTTGCAGAGAGCAGAAGCATTAGAAGCACTGAAAATGCAGAAGAGCAAATTTCCCCCTTTTCCCCTGTTGCCATACAACACCTGAATATTGTCCCCAATTTCCCCCTTTTTCTGATCAATTTACATCAAATTTTCCCACTTGGTGCTATACGTTTGTAATATTTGTACACATGGAAAATTCAGAAAATTATATTTATATTAATATACTTGTATCAAAGCCTCAGGCAACTTATGTGGGTACTTAACCAAAAGATCATATCAAAGTTGCCTTATCCAAAAGCACGTGATTAAGCATGTAATGGCATTAATTAATTGGACATGAGGATGTGTTTTTGTTGATTATTCAGTTCTGCTAAATGATAAATTATAACAGCCAAAGTTCCTTTTTGACTTCTTGAATCCAATGTGATGCTACTAAGAAAAATCAGTGTCCCCATTTATCTTGCTTTCTTACTAATTGCAATCACTTATAAATAATTAATTGCACATCCGGTTGACATCGATTTTGATTAAAATTTTCAAATGGCTGGGTTGAGTGTAAGTACAGGAGGTTAAAATAGACCGAGTCAATAAAAGAGTTACGTCACAACCTAAATCGTACTTGTGGGATCACACTGAATATGTTATTGTTGTTGTATAATAGTTTTTATTCATTAACTTTTTTCACGTAAAATTCGTATTCACATACAACTCAATGGGCGTTTGGACATAAGAATTGTAAAATTCTAAAAGAAAAAGTAAAAAAAAAATTTCAAGTGAAAATGGTCTTTAAAAATTAAAGTTGTATTTGGACATGAATATTATTTTGGGTTGTTTTTGAAGTCTTGTGAGTGGAAAATTTTGGAAAACAGCTTTTTTGAGTTTTTTAAATTTTCGAAAAATTCCAAAATTCATCTTCAAGAGAAAATTAAAATTTTTTATGGCCAAACGCTGATTTCTAAAAAAAAAAAAGTGAAAATATTTCGAAAAAAAGTGATTTTTTTTATGTCTAAACGGGCTCTCAATTTCCAGACACTGTTCTTCAACCAGATATTGTTCAAACACCTAGATATTGCCTGCTCCAAGTTGCATAATGAAGAATCGTTGACCAAAAACTACTTGCAAATCTGGATAAAACTTAGCAAAAATGGGAATACTCTATTCTCTTTTCTTCTCGCTCAACTATTTTCCCTTGTCAATCTAATTTTGCCGATAACCAGAGGCGGCGGCACAAGCCGAACTACGGGTTTGGTCGAACTCACTAGATTTGCTTAAACAGTATATTTAATATTTAAAATTCATTCAATATGTACAAATATTAAATTTAGAACCCAGTCACGAACACTTAAAGTCGTCGTTCTAAAATCAAGAACCCATAAGGTTGAAAACCTGGCTCCGACTCTGCCGATATGGGAGCCTTGGAGCAATAGTAAAGTTGTCCCCATGTGACCAATTATTCACGGGTTCGAGCCGTGAAAGTAGCCACTAATACTTGTATTAGGATAGACTGTTTACATTACATCCCTTGAGATGCGGCATTCCCTATATCCTGTGTGAATATGGGATGCTATGTGCTCGGGGCTGCCCTTGCCCGATCTAATTTTGTCCTGTCTTATGTTGACAATCTAATCCATATTAGTTGATTATGCGGTTGACCTGATCCTATTAATATATTCTGCGGTTGTTATGTGAGCCTTTATACCCACAATTTCAAAAGCATTTCAGAAACACGATTCATGAACCTTCAACAAGGAATAACTCACTTTTAAAGAGATCCTAAAAGAAGTGCTAATTAATACAAGCAAATTATGTAATTTCATCAACAAAATACACGCGGAGGCATCACATAATATCAATTTATATATTAACAACGTGGAATATTACGTAAGTAAACCATATACTAAGATTTTCTATTAATTAATAACATAAAATCCCCACCCAAGCCACCAACTAGCAACCTTTTAAAGGAAAATAGTAATATAATCAACTACTTAATTAATTAAGTGGATACATCAATTAAGTTGTTGAAGATAGGTGGGGACATTACTAACTCAAGTTAAAGGGCAATAAGTTGTAGAAAAATCCCCTATGTAGGCATAATTAAGGAACAATATGTTTCAATTTAGTCGACAATACCCAATAGGGCATAAGACCAAGTCTCGATATAGTCGAGTGTCCATTCAGGGAACAACACAACTTCTTATTTTTAATTTTGTGACGAGAAACGAACAGTTGAAAAATCCACGTCGGCAGAAAAGTATTATGACTGAATTACCTTTAATTAAAATTTGCATATTATTAACTTGACACATTGAGATATGTAAATAAGCGCAAATTTTGAAAAAATAAGGTTTATTCCTTCTTGATTATTTAAATAGACACTTATTTTGGACCAAATAAAGAGGCCAAAAAATCACTTATGATAGACCGGACGGAGTATATATTTTCTCGTTTCAATTTATGGGGCGATATTTGAGATACGATAGTCAAATATTGAATTCAAATATAGAGGATTCAAATTTTAAATAAAAAAGTTTGAATATACAGAAACAACGTAGACAACACTACATACTATAAGTTACAATAGTTACTAATTCAAAATATTTAAAAAATATTGTCACATAAAATAAAACTGGTGAAGTAGTTTTTTTTCCTTTTACATAGTCCATTACTCAAATGGTCACTGAACTATCCCAAATTATCTCTTAAAGTCATTTTTCTTTCGTTTGTAACAACAAAGTCACTAAACTATACCTATTGCATTGAGAAGGTCACTCAACTAGATTTTTCAAATTTTGGATTGCCAAATACCTATTTTCCCCCTCTAAATTATAAACATTTATCTTCTTTTTATTATTTTTTTAGCCTTTTTAATATTATGATTTCCCCCTTTTTAATTTATATTATGGACTTACCTATAGAACAAATAAATATTATTTATAAATTAAAAAAATAAAAAGTATTTAAGCATATATATTGCTGGATAATAAAATAATGAGCATAGTAAAAAAAATTAATTAGAATAATTTGTTAGTAATAATAATTTTAGTATTAACAATAAAAATTCAAAAATTTATTTACATATGCTTATTTTTTATTTTTTTAATTTAATTTTTGAATTTTTATTGTTAATACTAAAATTATTATTACTAACAAATTATTCTAATTAATTTTTTTTACTATGCTCATTATTTTATTATCCAGCAATATATATGCTTAAATACTTTTTATTTTTTTAATTTATAAATAATATTTATTTGTTCTATAGGTAAGTCCATAATATAAATTAAAAAGGGGGAAATCATAATATTAAAAAGGCTAAAAAAATAATAAAAAGAAGATAAATGTTTATAATTTAGAGGGGGAAAATAGGTATTTGGCAATCCAAAATTTGAAAAATCTAGTTGAGTGACCTTCTGAGCGCAGTAGACATAGTTCAGTGACTTTGTTGTTACAAACGAAAGAAAAGTGACTTTAGGAGACTGGCAGACACAATCAATGCGGATCTAGAGCACAATCATTGGGTTTAGGGGAACCCGATGGTTTTTGGTCATGCAATTTTTTTTTAAAATATTTGATTGTGACATCTATTATTATTGTGTGTCAACTTGAGGTCTTAATAGGAACTCATAAACTTTAAATTCAGACTCCGTAACTGAACTTAAATTGTCAATTGTTCTACTAGGACTTGGGACTCTAAAATAGTAGATTGGGTACACATATATAATCTGATGGATGTTGCCAATTCATTGGCTGAATGATTAAGTTGAGAGAAAGCTTGCAAATGACAAAATTCCAAACCCTTTATTCCTATTAAAATCTCGAGGTCCCCTTCATCATCAATAAGCAAATAAAAAACAAAGAGAAGAAATTTGTATTTGATGTTAGAAAGATGGAAAAGTTTTTTAGGCAGATACGTTGCATGAGACAGCTTAAATGGGGCAAGTGGGGTATGACTAAAATAGAATAGGGCAATGTCCAATTTTGTGGATACTCCAAATAATTCTCTAAATTCAACAAAGAGATAAATAATGAACCTTCAAAGCTACTTTTGTTTTCCTCTTCAAATCAATATCTTTTCAATTTGACTCCCTTTTGACCAAAATTTTGCCTGTTTTCTTGGAGTATGCATGCACAAGGAAGGAGGAAAACCACTTTTTGGGACCTACTTATACTTAACAAATTGGATAACATAAATTGAAGATCACATAAGATTCAAGATGAGACATATATTCATTTGGCTTAATACATTAATAGTAGTATTTCAGTGGCGAAGTCAAAAATTTTGCTAAAAAGTGCTCAGAGATGTTCATGATTTAATATATATATGTATAAATAGTAATATTTGATCTATATATATATAATATAATTTTTTGGTGAAAGGTAAATAAGTGACGAACCTTTGCCTTTTTAGCTCAGCACAATGCACATGCCCTAGTCCCTAGTAGGTAAGTTGGAAATAGCTGGGACAGATAGCAAGAAAAGGAATATGTATATGGCAATTGGGGCAAATTCATGGATCCTTAGGACAGTGTTAATTTCATCATAATAAGTTAGCCTTAAAAGTTGGGAGAATGTCGACTGTTACCATCACTGCATTAAAGCGAATATATATGCAAGCGAATATATATCAGGAATGATTGTAGCACAAGATTAAATATAATTTATCTTGATTATGGGAATGGTTTAATTCCAACTTCTTGTGCTAGTACATTTTGTATGTATTGAACGGACCAAGTAGAGATAAGTATTTTATACTGACTTAATAAAATAAACTCTCTGGCCATTAAATGTACTTATACTCTTAATCTTGATATAATTATTATTAGCTGTGTATATTAATATTGTTTTGATTTATTAAAAGGCGAGATTCTTTCGTGGGTCAATATGCCTGGTAAATTGGATAATAATAATGTACATCGGCAAAGTAATAGTTAGTTGATGGAATCCAAGTCTCGATTTAGAGATTGATGATACACCTTTATGAAAGCTTATAAGTTTTCATGTGTAAACCCGGCCGGTGGATTTGTATCCGACATATGAAATAATTTAAGCGAAAGTCTAAAGGAAATAATCAATAAATTAAATCGTCAGTAATTTAATTTAATTGATTAGTATCTGAATCTTAACATGGGGAGTTAAATAAGATTTAATGGATGAATTTCGAAATTGAATAAGGAGTGCAATTACGAATTTTTAGTGGAATAATTCGTAACTAATTATGGTGGATATTAATTTCGAAAATTATAAATTAATTCCATAATTGGAAGCCTTGTTAATTAAATTTTATGGTCCCTGCTGTGCCTAAATAATAGAAAATAAAGGAATCCTTTTTCTGGTAAGGGTTTTAACCCTTAAAA